GTGTATTATCCACCATTGTCCGGTTTTTGTTGAACGATTGTGGCCTGTGTTTATGAAGCAATTATTCGGCTGAGGTCGCTGCAATTTATGTCGTAATTATTTCATCAAACGTGCGCGTAAATAACTCGTTTTGGGTGATTTGGTGCGAAAATTAATCGCTACATGAAATTTTTAATCATCGAATTATATTAGCTATACTGGTATGTGTATGTAGTTTCAACGTTATGAAAGTCAATTATCTAGCTGTACCAAAATTCGCGCAATTTTTACCTCGATTTGAAATTGTCTGCTATTACGTGTAGATTCGTGCAGATTTACTGTTAAAATTGTCGTTCTCAAAACGTCTATTAGTATATTACGTTTTGTTCACCATTCGCTCTGTAGTTGTCGGTTCAATTATGTTATTAGTGGACATAAATGTTGTATAATTTAAAAAATATATATTTATATTACAATATATTTTTAACAAAATATATTATAATGCATCCTGTATTATAACAAAATGTGTTATTCTCTAACGCATAATAATAATATTATGCATAATCCTTTCAACTTTTGCCATGGAAATAAAGGAAAAAAATTAAGATAAGAGAAGTCGAGAAGAAAACAACGATGAAACAAAAAACGAATGTACCGCAATACAGATCAACGTATGATAATGCTCAGCGTGTAGTGATATAATTATATACTCACCGTAAATGCGCCGAATGAGTTGATGGAAATTTTCCGCTTTTCACCATATAAAGGCAACAAATGAAACCGGCGTCCTATTATTATCGTATTGAAGTACATAGGACACGTGATCATACATGTTGACAGCAGAATTAATTGTCCAGTAATTTCGAAATTTTATCACTAGTAATTAAATAATTGTTTTCAATTTTATACGCTGCACCATATTTGTGCATTAGAACAAATCATGAAGTCCTAATTATTAACTTTCCTTTCTTAGTTGTTTCATAGCATGTTTGTCAGTTTATAATTTTGAGGTGATTCTATAAAATAAAATAACAAATATAATTAACATGTCTTTATATACGCGCACTCTAAACTCTACAGCATTATCGTTTTTTATTCTCTTAGGGCGATTATTAATGAAGATAATTAATGAATTAATGTAAGCTCTTTGCTTACTAACCAATTATGCGCGAGTTCAGAGTATTCAGACATCTAACTTTAAGTTATATTTCAAATATAGAGATGCTTGCAGAAACAATTAACAGTTAAATTAGAGTCTGCGACTAATTGACAGGCGTAGGTATACATATTTTAAATGAGTCACAATCGTGTCGTGAATATATTGATAGGCGTTTTTATATCTGGCGATTTGCAACAAAGTTTATTTTATATATTTTTCTGTTTCAATGTGCGAATGCTTTTGGTGACGTCTGTTTGTAGCATAGTAGGCGTCTTAATATGTACCGGTGACCAAAAATGGCAACTCGCCTCGCCTACGCTCCTTATAAAAATCTCTTTCTTTCGATTAAGTCGCTGGCTGAATCAGATAAAGCAAATAAAGATAAATAAACTAATAAGAATTATTGCATGATTCATTATATGCTGATATTTACATTTTCCACGAAATTAATCATACAATTTTAGAGTTTCAAGCTAAAATATATTTATTGTGTTTTATTTGTTTAGCAGCTTTTAAATGCTAATCGCAACTAATTTGCAGATGCAGTAAAAACGTCTGGTATTTACGATCGTGCAAAGCACACGCCCAAAATAGTCGCAGCCGTTCCTCGTTCTCACCTTTTGGATTGTCGTTCTTTTCACTTTTTGCGTGCTCGTTTTTGCGATTGACATTTGCGTCACGAGGCTATATTTGTACTCACCGTTCACGTATCTACTTTCATGTTGTCGTTCTCTACTTCACATGTTAAGATAAAAGCTTACTGAGCGTGAACAACGTTACCTCTTTAAAATAAAATGCTGCGAAGCGCGAAAGAAGAAAACATTACTTTATGGTAACGCACAGAACAAAAGTTGTGAATGCGTTTACTTTTACTTACACTTCTCGTTACAACCTGAACCTATGCATATTCAATTTCGATTCTAACGTATCTGTGTTCCATGTGACGATTCTGTCCACTGTTCGATCCTCAATCGTACAATGTCCGCCGTACATTTACACATTCCATGATCGCGAGTGTATGCAGGAACTACACACGTTTGCAGTTTGGCGGCATGTATACTGTACGTATACTATGCGCAACAAGCTCAAAGCAAGAGCGTTTACTTTCGAATTCACAGGCTCACCGGTCCGAACACGTTGTGTGCGTTTGACTAGTACCTTGAAGTGCACGGCTTGTGGCACTTGCACACGAAGGAGGACCTCATTAATTAATTACTGTTCGCCTGCAGTTGCACGTAATGCTTTATTCATGGAAGGCAGCGCAACGTTTGATGTGACCATAGAAGCAAATCGGTGCTAATTAATTGATCATGCGAAGATCAAAAAAATAATTTATCCAAATCTCACCTGAATCCATTTCCATCTTGTTTTAGGACACAAAATAATTAAACAACTTATTACAATTTTTACTTATTGGTCGGGTAAATTCTAAAAATCGTTAGTATTGCTGTATACTGTTGTTTTTCTAGTCAAGAAAGTTTGCCATCCCCGCAGGAAGTATGTTTATAGAACGATTCTTCTTGTTTAGGTGGAGGCCAACTTTCGACACACTCGTTTAACTATTCTTGGAATGGAACTGCCCGCCGACCACCTCACTATTCACCGATTCGGTCGACAAACGAACTGCACGCTTCTTTCTGCTATAGGGTTTTTCAATCGGTCCGCACCGTAAAATCAAACACCTAAAAACCATACCAACACACATAGATTGCAAAAAAGAGCCGCACTGGGCACAATCGACTTGGTAACAAATAACAAACTCGCGTCAATTCACATTCGGGCAACCTTTTTTCCCGTTTACGATTTGTTGCAAGTTGCGACCTATTTCGAACTCAGGAATTGCCGAATTGTTGTTTTATTGAAGTGCGGAAATAAAAGAACGAAAACTAAATTGTTTTGTCCATTTATTGTTGTATTGTTGAACATTGTTGACATTTTCAACATTTTGAGATGCATTTGCTACAAAATTAATAAAAGATTAAATTCGTTGATAAAACCAACTTGGTCGGAGAACTTTAGTTGGCATTGAAGTTAATACTGCAATTCACAATTAAAAATTTGATGTCTCTACATAAAATCCGAACAAATTTAACGCGTCAAGAACTTCATGAATATTCCGATTGCATATTTCTAACATGGCATTTCAAAACGAAACATTTCACAGCCGACGACCCCGCGCACGTCAAGCTAGTTTATATTTTCGTGCGCCGCAAGTGAAAAAGAAACCGCATAATAAGTTGGACTTCTTCGGCTCACCGGAGTGCATACAAATTAAATGTTTTTACAGGCGCTTGTTTTCGTAGCTTCCTGTCGCTCCCAGTGGGCGCCAAACAGTGTTTCACACCTTTCTAACAGAGCCTTTGCTTACAAAAGAGAAAGAAAAATTGAGGTTATTATAGCAATATTAATTTTAAAACAATTAAGTAATAACTGAAATATTTAATATGCATTTAATAGTTATTCTTTTATTTATGTAATTGATAAAAATTCAACTGAGTATTGACTTTTTTATTGGTATCATTCGTAAACATGTTAACCACAACAAAATTATTAAATTTTCGTATTTTTATTTATTAAATATATTAAATACTGGTTAATTAAATACCGATGCAACTCCACTGAATGGATTTTACCCACTGAAATTGCCATTCAATTTATTTAAGATCTTTAGTTTATCATATTTGGGCCACAATTCTTAAAAAAAATCTGGTTAAAAAGGTGCGATAATTTTAATTAAAGGAATTTTTTTTATGAATTCTTTTGGTATAACACAAATAGTTTTTTTAAACTATTTAAATTTTATGTTACTCGCTTCCAAGTCAGAAGTTTAAATCTTTTGTAAGCATTAATTATAAAAAATATCCCCGTTTGCTTTCTGATAACTATCTCATTATATAATCCTAAATTATTTCCATATGCTAATTTGCATAAATTTATTTGTTTAGTGTTTACTAATCTTTGGCAATTATAAAAAGTTAAAGGTATAATCACCATGAGAACAACTATTTTGCAAACCTTTGAAGTTTGACGAAACAATTACGTTCATCCTTAAGTTACGAATAATTTTCAATGAATTTAGTAGAGTCTAATTAATTTAATAAACATAAATACACTTCAACTATAATTTGTGTTTACTTGAGTTACATTCCATACCGTACAAAATTACACTATGTTAAAATTTTGGGTTTTCCAAACAGATTATTAGCCATTCTGTTTTAATTTCAACCGAAAATTATTCATCGAGAGGAAGTTCAAAGTGCTAATATGTGAAGATTGCGAGCTGCGCTTGAGATATATTTTAAAGTAAAGTCTAGTAAAGTGAATTAACGCAACACAAAAAGAATAAAACCTAGAAGAATAAAGTAATCTTCTCATTTTCATCAGTATCTTTCAACGATCGGCCGGGCGTGTGGAACGCAGTGAGCGTTTAATTTCCTCGTGCGTCTTAGACGAGTTGCAGGCAACAACAATGCCTGAAGTTACAGATTTGCTTTTTGTACGTCTTTTTTTTTGTTTTGCTATGAGTTGAGTTCAGTTAGTGTACATTCGTACCAAACAGCTTGTATAATGCGTATTGTTATTACTTACATCTATTTGAACTTAACCTAAAAATTGTACAGGTTATGTTGAAAATAACATTTAAAATACAATTTATTCTATTTTTGTTACAGGTAATAACACTCAGTGTCATCTCAAGAAGTTAGTACAGCGGCCGACGCCTACGTTGACGACAAGTACAAAGAACAATTTGATTCATATTCTTCGCGCATGACATATAAATGACAAAGCTATAAAATACAATGTCTTTGCCTTCAATTGTCTTTGTCTACGTGTGGTGAAGAACGCAAGTACTCGACCCACATAAGCCCACAGAAAATTATAAATTTATTACCATATTATTACAATAATTCTCATAATGTCATCATTTATTACACGTTGCTCTATAACAACAAACTATACAAGCTTTTTATATCCATAGCAATCTATCCTTAAAATGCTCAAATTCACATTATTATTGATTGTAAGACTGTTGTTATTAACGCCTCTTCTTCGATGAGACATGAAGCAACGAAAGCGAGAGTACCTGCAATAATAATACGTGTCAGAATTGAAGGCAGTATAATCGAGTGCACCGCGACTAACAGCAGCCGGCTTTTTATCTCGCAAAATCGAATACAAGAAAGCACTTATCACAACCAGAAAAAAGAACACACAACAAAAGAAAAAAGATACAGGAAGCACGTGAATAGAGTGAAAGTGTTTCGTTACTCGCATATATTTAATTATTTTAAAAATAAGAATTTGATTTTAAATGTTATAATGTTAGGATTGTGTGATGGTAGATGGTAGAAACGATAAGACGATAAAAGTGATTAACTTACAGGTTGAAAGCGCATTGGCAATAAATAGCTTTATTGCGCATAATTAAGACGTAAAACATGGTGATGACTTCACTATTTCATCTTTTTATCTATTTGTACTCGTAAGTAATTTTTCTAGTCTGCACGGCTCTTCTTACTTAATTTGCCAACGACCACCAACATTATCTAATACTCAACAACTACAACCGTCTTGTTGGATAGATATTAACATAAATGCAAGCACAACGATGATTACATCCTTGCGTTCCATGCAGGCTTTATCACCACGACACGAAACTAGCAATTTCTTATTAAATTAAAGCGCGTTCATCATGCCGAATGTACACGCTGGTACGTACTTCTATCGCGGATATTTATATTTGTTTATTACGAGCGCGTAAATTCACTTTTTAATGTTTTAATTTAACCACGCGAGCAGAACCGTCGTTCGGTTTACGTTCAAGGATTACAGCTAGACGGCAAGAATGCGGACAAAACTAGGCGAGACGAGAGATGATAGAAAGAAAACGAAAACTACATTAAATTCAATGACTAAATTGTAATTAATTAAACTTGATTAAAACCCGCAGGTGGCCATGCTATGTACGTTAGTTTATTAAATTAAATTTAATAACATAACTACATTAGTGGGCATATTTATTGGTTAAGATGACATTTTTAAATGATAAAACTTATAAGCAAAAGTTTGGTTAATTTAAAGGTTAGTTTATGCCAGATTATGGAGAAAGGAAACGTTTTAACGCTTAAATGTGTGTAAAATTTGCGAACTAATTAAATATTTCCCAATAGCAATTTATTTACACGGTTGACTTTATAATTGCATTGTTTATCAAGCGTAAAATGACATTCCGCCTTAATGACTGCAACTCTTTTTTCCTTGACTGTACTCGTACTATAACCGCGCACTGGTGCAAATTACAAAATACAATTGATTTGTATCCGTCGACGGAGTGTTGTATAGTCTCTGACTATTTGCAAGTTTGCCAACACGTTAGTTATGTCATTAGTTAATTCTTTGTTTTACCTTCGTATTCATTGTGCTGGCATTCTTTGTCTAATTAGTTGCAATTGACGTAAATTGTGTGATTTAACGCGGTGTTTACCTTCAATCGTTTTCACCCTCACTTAACGAATAATATGGATACTTAACGATTTTCTATGTGCTTATACACATTTCGCTATGGTTTTTTGTCTGTTTTGTGAATTGTGAATATTTTGCTTTGGTCTGAAACCTCTTCCTTTTCACTATCCCATCATTGTTTCAATTCTCGTACCTAAAAAGCCAACAATACGATATTTAACATGCGTAAATTTAATTTGCAATGGTGAGCATTGTTCACTATTACTATTCCAATACTGTTTAACGCAGGATTTATGAAATTATGAAAACAATAATTACATTTCTAGTAGTAGGTATGAAATTTGTAAAAAAAGACTTGATATAAACGCACAAAAACGAAACATTTTATTACAATCGTTTGGTTATTTCTTTTTTGGTAGTACAGATCGCATGTGATCTTCAATAACAATGAAACACCCACACGTTTGTTGCAAGATGTAAGACGACCTAAGTCCCATACAGCTTGTGTGTGTTTTCATTTCAATATTTTCAGTTTCGCTTGGTTACCATTTTTACTGAGTATCACCTTACATCTTGCTTTCAAATTTGATTCGAACATAAACATCACAATAATATTGGTTGTAAAATTGTGACACAAAACTTTTTTTTTAAATTATTTTATTTCTCTTTTTTAATGATTTTGGTGACACTCTGTAAAACAGAAATAAAGAATTAAGATCCTCCCTAGATATTTAGTCGTTTGCCGTGTGGAGTTTTGTATACAAATGGCAAGATCACGAAACTAAACGAAATACAAATAATGATACTACGAGTATTTTAGTTTTGCAATTTATTGATAAAACCATTCGGAGAAAAAGGAACACGCCGAACAACACGAACCTACCAACAAACAATAAGTATCCTTTATCTTTCATGCAACAACAAAGACTTACATGTTATCCTGGTGTGTTATCTAACGCTGCTTTAGCGGGTTTAACAACGCAACAAATGCGCCGAACATGTTTCGTTCAACTTCCTCATTATATTGATATTGTACTTACGTTGCGAAAAAAGAACTTTGCACGTAATTGTTTTGCGTCACAATTCTACTGTTGAAACTTTGTTTGCGTTTGCTTTGTTTTATTTCTATTTTCAATGTGCGCGGATTTATTCGTCGTCGCTGTGAACAAGTTACTTTCTTGCGTTTTCGTTGAGGGCGGATATTTGAATTTGACTTTCGTCGTTTTATGTATTTTGTTAACTTTCAACTTAGGTTATATTAGTACGGGCCCGGCGCGGCAGGAATGGCGGCAAACTTTTAAACTTAATTATTAATAAAGTCGGCGCGAAAGCATTTTGTTTGCCGATGGGCGGAACGGGAGAGAATAGCAATAGATTCCAGACGGGCCTGAACTAAGGAGCAGGGATGAGGAAATTTTACGAGTGTTTAATAAATATTTATTGCCGATCATAATTGCCGCCTTCCCTCCACAGACACAGTTTTATTGGTCGCGCACAAATTTCCTTAATTACGCATTCTACAATATCGATAATAAGTTTTTTTTGCAGAATATACAATTTATTGAACTACGTGCTTTAAAAATTGACGCCTTAATCTTCAAAAAGATCCCCCTACCCTGCTTAGGAGTGTCGTTGTTCGTGGTAGTTTATTAGAAAGAAAAAAAAAACAAATTTTATATACGAATTAAATTTACTAGGTTTGTAGAACTTCCTGTACTGTCAATTACAAGAGGCGGTAGACAATGCGTAAATTACCCAAGACAAATGACACCGTTTTGTTTAAATTCTGTTTTTTTTTTTTGGTCGGGCTCGTCGTGTCCACAACTTAATAAAGCATCACTCTGCCGTTTAACACTGCTGTAGCCACTGTAGCTTCTCGCATCTGCCACCATCCATCAAGTGACTGAATCAAAACCGAAACAAACAAATCAGCGCCATGCCGGCTCTAAACAACGCCGGGATGAGACAATGGCGCAAGCGAACGATACGGCAAATAACCGTTAAGCAAATGGAGAAACGTGCAACATATCTTGTACGTGCATGACGTGCGCTCGGGCGTTTTGGTGTCGTAGCATCGAGAGATGTAAATACACGCATTTTTCTCTGGCGCGTATTAGGGTAAAAGAGGGTAATGGGGGTCACTTAAGGGAGAACTCAAATATAATTTAAATTATAAACAAAATACTTGTTGCAATCGCTTATAAGCATTGTTTACTTAAATACCTATTATTTGAAATAATTTTCAGTCACTTTGACAATCAATTTTGATATTATTAAAGTTTAAAAACAGATTTGACTCCCATTACACCGACATGCGGGTAATGGTGGTCACCCTGGGGACAATCGGAATCAAACAAAATCTAGCAGGTATCGCGGACATAATATTCCGCAAAGTCCCACCCAGTGCATTTCACATGAGCTCATAGCCCACATGAAGTGCATCTGAACCACATTTAATTGTTTTTTTTTTAAATCGTTGCACATTAGACATCAGTTTTCCAAATCTTCATCCTCATCGCCCTGGCATAAGTCATCAGTGCCAATATTGGAATCATAAGTTTTGTTACTTTCCTGCAGTATCGTTTCTGCAAGAAGGCTATTGAAAAATAAGTCACATTGCTTTTTATAGGCCATTTAGAGCGGACTAAAGACAAAACGTCCATTGGGAGTCGCATGACTTATTGCCCACAATTGCAATATTGTGAAAAAAAACAAAAAATATTTCTTCAAAACATTAATGTAATCTGAACTGCACATCACGATTTTGAATGTTTAACTAAGACTATATAAAGTTTCATTCGAATATTAAAAGATATTCGACACTTATCTTCTAATTTGCGTGGACGTAAAATTAGATCAGCGGAGCTCAAAATAAAATATTGGCGTATCTCAATGATACACGCACCGATTTGCATGATTTGTCGGGGTGGCACTGGGGCCAGAACGGAGGTAGGAACACCGTTTACGCGTTACTCGTAACTATTGTTTCGTGGATATATGGGTGACTCCCATTACCCGCTGACTCCCATTACCCTACTCTCCCTAAGTCGGTTACTGCGCGTGGATCGTTATATCCTGTCTCGGCGGCGCGCACGAAACGCACGATGTGTGTTCCCCTTGCTCGAGTTCACGACGACGTTTTCTTTTGAGCAACCAGAGCATGCTCGACGATGATACCGATGATTCCAAGAGCAAACAACGAAAAGACAATTCACGTGTCGACATCAAATGTCCGCTTTTTTGCTAGATAACTACATAGAAGTAACTTTTTTCGGTTTATTAAATTGTACAAGTACACATTTACCTTAACGATATCCGTACAGCTGAACAAGTACCTACTATACTCGTACATTTTATAAAGTTAATTTGTAACGTATTAATTCCATGCGTCAAATTACCCGTTTTTTGCAATGCGGATGAATAAATACACAATACACACGTTTAAAAACAAACGAAGCGAAAAAAACAAATCGTAATTGCCAACAAAAATTTAATTTAAATTGTTACATACTGGTAGACTCAGTTAAAACCTATGATTAAAGATTTTTTTGGAATCAATTTGAAATGGAACATAAAATTTTTTACTTGATGCCCAGACATCCATTATTCCAGGTGGTTTCATTGACTTGGTTGCTTTTAACGCATCGCAGAATTTACAACATTTTTATGATAATGAAATCGAACAATGACTTCGAAATGTATACCCAGAAAAAGGCTCGTTTAAGTTCACGTCGCGGAAATATATCGTATACTAAAATTCCAATGATAAAATGTGAGCAAAAGTATAACGCCCAATAGACGCACATTAAAGGACTCGACATCGTATACATAATTTCCCTTGGACTATTGAGTTCGAAATCTTCGAATCCGCCCAATCCTTCCAGAGACACATTGGCTTTCCTTCGCCGGGAATTGCAAACGAGCACAAACAGGACGTTTATTTATAAAGTCGGCCGTTCGCTATGCGAATATCCTGAGCGCGACACAAAAAAACATATTGAACGAGGGAGTGGAGAAAAACCTTAAGATATTAAAGTCTTTCAAGGCTTGTTTACATTTTACTACTTCTTCGCTTTCTTCGCGCTCGCCGTGGAGGGCGCTTTGGCACGTTTTATGGATTTTATTTATTGGAAATAACCTTGTTTTTCTTTATGTTTTAAAGACGTGGTTTGGTTTGCTTGCTGAGATAAAAGTTACCAAAATTACGAATTTCGTAAAAGATAAGAAAATAAGTAAAACTCCAAACATAAACACCATGAGGTATTGAT